AATCCTGGCTTTTGTAATCCTGGCTTACAAAGGCCTGCCTGGCTTCTGCAGATAAGTTCTCCTTCCCTTTCAAGGATGGGCATTTCTTAGGCCAACCTATAACAGGTCTGGAGGAGCCAAATGCAGGGAGGTCTGACCACTCAGGAAAAACCAGAGAAGGGAAAAGATGGACCTAGGCTAAGATCCAGGAATGCAGGGACTTTGCCTGTAGTACTGGTGTCCCCTTTGGAAGTTTCACCTAGCCCAGAAAATAGCTACGCATCATCAACTTATTCGTCACTGCCAAAGCTGGTGGGGTGAGAAGGGCCAGGATCTGGCCAGTGACCTGATCAGAATCTCCTATATACACATAATCTCTGCCCACCCTTCTTCCAGTTTTCTGGAATCCACTTTCTAGGTTTTAGCTAAGAAGTCAAATCACTGGAATTAGACTCCCTTCCCAGACCTGAGTAACCTATGGCTTCAAGCCCCAAGTCAATCCTTTAATCTGTGGTTAACCAGAGAATCCTCCTCCCCACTAACCTTCAGAGTTTAGGTTCTTTGCCTCAATGTTGGCCTGGATCACTTGGCCAGACCTGCATGTCACTCCGCCAGGAGGCTGGCAGCCTGGAAGACCAGAGGTAACCTTGGTGCAGCCCTGGACCCTGTCCCTGAACAAGCCAGCACCAGCTATAAAGGCAGACAGTGAGCCTTTACCGTGCTCAGCTGTTATGTGCCTGCCTGAGCTGCCAGGGCCTGTCCTCCAGAGAAAACCCACTTAGGACTCCTGGACAGAGCTATTGGATGACCCACCCCTGACTGTAATTCGTGTCTGCCAGGCCACATATATGAAATGGGTTTCACAGCTGATTTAACCAGCAAACCAAGAAAAAAAACCAGGCAGGGAACACTTGCTGGAATATCCAAGAGGTACCTTCAGGGTGTTAAAATGATATTACTGCTCTGCCTTTCAGAACAATGAGTCCAACTGGGGCCAAGTTAGACTTTAGACTAAAATTCCCAAAATGCCCTCACAAAGAGAATGGCAGAAAGTGAGGCCAAAAGGTTTTTAAAATAAGTCTTCAAGCTGGGCGCGGTGGCTCATGCCTGTAACCCTAGTGCTCTGGGAGGCCGAGGTGGGCAGATTGTTTGAGCTCAAAAGTTCGAGACCAGCCTGAGCAAGAACGACACTCCATCTCTACTAAAAATAGAAAGAAATTAATTGGCCAATTAAAAATATATAGGAAAAATTAGCCGGGCATGGTGGTGCATGCCTGTAGTCCCAGCTACTTGGGAGGCTGAGGCAGGAGGATCACTTGAGCCCAGGAGTTGGAGGTTGCTGTGAGCTAGGCTGACGCCACGGCACTCTAGCAGGGGCAACAAGAGTGAGACTCTGTCTCAAAAAACATAAAATAAGTCTTCAAAGTGGGGAGAAGGTTGGTTGTACGCATTATTGATGGGCTGGGCTGGAGGCATAGCGTAAGTGACTTTCAGATTATCCTGCACACTATGTTGTGTAAGATCCTCACCCCTAGGTAAAAGCAATTTGGTCCCTGGGCATTCCTTTCTAACAAGACAACTATCTCCAGCTCCACTCTCATCAGAACGCCTCTGAGCTCACAGTAACAAAGTACCTGGGGCTACATGCATAGAAGGCATTTCAACAAGGCTACAAACAGGCATCACTTGGTTTACATATCTGCTCACAGGATCTTAAGCAAGCACAAATTTGAGGTTGAGAGAAACAGAGGCTTATTCACAGATCCCCAAACATAGAAAATAAGGAAATAGTCTTTGCTACTTGAGAAAGTCTTCAAGACAAATGTTAAGTATGACATCACACAGGCAATAAGCAAGTGGAACTCATTTCTCTGAGACAAGGATCCTTAATCATTTTTAGGTCACTCATTCTTTTGAGAATGTTGAAAGCCATGGATAATTTTCCTATCCTAACTCAAAACTGTCTTTTTGTGTTTTTTATTAAAAGACACACCTGCACACAATATTATGTTTAATTTCAAAGGTTCCCAGATCCCCTGATGTTAAGAACACTGCCCTTAATGGAAATGCAGGTAGAAAATACATGACTTAGATATATACCTGCCAGTCATAAAAACTTGCCAAGAGAAGCTGGGATGTATCTATTCTGTAAAGTAATGAACAATAACCACCAGCTGCTAAGTGCCAAATCTGTGTTAGGTATGGGGTGCCATTGTGATTGTGTTTTACACACCAAAAGATGGCGATTCAGAGGATAAAATTAGCTAGTACACAGCTAGGAAGTGGCAGAGCTGGAATTCAGGCCCCATTCTGTCAGGCTCAGAAATCCATACTTCTTTCCATTTTGCCAAACAGCTCTTATCTGATGTGCTATTTGGGACTGCTGATGAGCCTAAGCTAGTAGACTTGGATCACAGCTCCAGACCCCAACCACAGACTGGGCTCAAAGATCTATGCTAAGGGACAGGGACTGGGACTGTGTCATCTTATATGGCTGACCCCCTGACCAGTACTGCAATCAAACACCATTTATGCAGAAAGAATAGGACCAGAGGGAAATTCCCAAGCCCCCAAACTGGTCTCCTCCTCTCTTCTGAGAACATGATGGTCATCAGCAAGTACCTGATCTAGGATGTAGTTGCGTTTCTTGCGGGCAGCGATCTGGATGAGGCGGTTGAGGCACTGGGTGGCCTGCTGGATCAGGACATCCCAACGGCCAGCATAGTTCCGCTGCCGGCGTAGGCCCATCACCTGTGGACAGGAGGTGGTGAGGAATGAGTGGTCCTCGTTGCAGGGCAGCACTCAGAGGGTGGGAGGTGGATAAGGAGAGTCCAGGGGCTGTCCTTACCCGCATCTTATCCATGATGGCATTGGTACCCAGGATGTTGTACTTCTTGGAAGGGTTGGAGGCTGCATGTTTGATGGCCCATGTGGTCTTGCCAGCAGCAGGCAGGCCCACCATCATCAGAATCTACAAGAGTAAGATGGGGAAGGAGTGTTGTGGCATGGTGGTGTGGCACCACCCTGGCTTGCTGGTGACCGTGAGGGAGACTCTGAACAACATGGCTGCCTCTGGAAAATGGAAGCAATAACAGCATGAGGCTTGTCAGACTCTCTGCAGAGGTCCTGGCATGGGGTGAATACTAAATCAAGCGCTGTCATCATTAGCATTTATATTTCTGTTCAGATGGGATTAAGGAAGGGGCCTCTGAAAAGCCCAGAGAAGGCCATGTACTGAAATTGGCCCATGGAGTGGACACAAAAAGTGGTACAATTTTCTTGGAGTCTGAAATGGAACACAGCTATACACACAAGGATAAAAATCATATCTAATCAGTACATTGAGAATCTGGTAAATACTAGACGCAACCGAAATGCCCCCAAAGAAGGAAAGGGTTAGTTTGTGAAGCCATTAAAAATAATGTTCAGAGGTTTTCATGTGATGAGATAAAGCTCATAAAATAATGTTAAGTGAAAAGGGCAGGATATCAAAATGCTTATAAGATCTCAATTATAAACACATGTGTGCATAAAACATTTACCTAGCACATCAAAAAGAATAAGATAAACTCCAAACCACTGGATGTAAACTTATTTGCAGATGGTGGAATGACGGAAAATTTTTCTTCGTATTTTTTAATTTTCTAGAACAAACATAAATAACTTATACATACAAGAAAAACACTGTTTTAAGAACAAGGATCACCAATATAGCTCCTAAAACCAAATCATCCCAAAGGCAACTTGTCATTTCTTGTCCTTTCCTGCTGTAAGTGCCTTCTTTTCCCATGTTCTGGCCTCATCTAAGAAGCAGTGTGGCTACTTCTTTTTGGAACCTAAGATTTGGGTAGACTACCTTAGCCCCTCCCTCTCTGGCCTAACTCACACTGACACCTCTCCCCTCACACTCAGAGCAGCTTTTCAACTCTGAATCCAATTGTGAGGAGCTGAAAGGAAGTAGCTACTTGCCCCAAGGTACTCACATAGTGAGTTTGTGCTTGTTGCACCACACCCAAAGGAGAGAGACTGAAGAGTCTCCCCTTTGCCTTGGTAACAAGGTGGGTCTGAAGAGCTGGCCACCAGTTCAGTCTTCTTATCCTACTCACCTCACATTCTGCTTTGCTCTTTGGTCCGACAGTGCCCCGGATCCGCTCATTAAGTGGAAGGTGCTGGATGAAGGTAAACCCTGGGAGGACAGAACAGTAGGGCTCTGCCCTCTGCCCGAAGTTGAACTCCACTGCGCAGTTCTTCACCAGGACATGAGGGTAGAGAGCCTGACCCGCCAAGGCTTCCTTCTGGATTCGGAAGGCAATGCCCATCCACTTCCCATTCTTGGTAAAAGAAAGTTCCACATCATTTCCACATTCAAAGTCCTAGGAGAAAAAAAAAAAAAAACAAAGGAATATAACTGCCAACTCTCAGCTTACAGCACTAGGAACCACAAGTGGGAGAGAGTAGATGCGGGGAGTGGAAATATAGCCGGCTTTCCAGACTTCAGTGCATTCCTCCCCAACATATAGGTAAACTGGGCAGCATCAAGGAACATCTCAGAGAACGTCCAGCCCAAAGCCCTCCTTGACCAAGATCTGGAAGCTGATGAATGTGAAACAAATAATTTTAAGAAATTATTAAGTATTTGAAGTATTTGAGTCTTGTGCCTGGCCTGAGATGAAGACAAAGGAAAAGGCAATCCTGCCCTGTTCTCAAAACTGACAAGGGCAATCTACGAAGGCAACAGATGAAGGAAAGCCACAGCAAGGATTTCTTAAGCTGAGTCTAACTCCACAAATATAAGATGAAATAATTTACCCATGGCTACAAGTTAGTAAATGATAGAGCTGAAGCTGTCCACCTTCCCAACAGTATCTTAATCACTAAACTTAAGCAACTCAATAAATACTTGTTACTGAATGAATGAATGAATGTGGTCATCGCATGGCTCTCCAGCTGCACCTGAAATTACTTCTTCCTTATCCTTATGCTTCCTTATCCTTTATGCTTCAGCAAGTCTGACTCTATGCTGTCTCACCGTCATGCTTTGTACGTTCAACACATGCCCTGAGTTCCCACTCTTTCTCATACATGTCTGTGGTAATCTGGGCTTGACAGAGCTCAGGGACCAGTAGGGAATCAGACACAATCATAAATCAGTAAGGGGACATACCCAGAGCAAGTATCTCTGAGAAGGGGACCCATGAGCTAAGTCCTGAAATGAGCCAAGTTTGGGGTTGGGAGGAGAGTATTTCATATAAAGAGAAGTGTTACCTATACATAAGCATGACGGTGAGACAACATAGAATCAGACTGGCTGAAGCATGAAGGATAAGGAGGAAGTAATTTCAGGTGCAGCTGGAGAGCCATGCAATGACCACATTCATTCATTCATTCAGTAACAAGTATTTATTGAGTTGCTTAAGTTTAGTGATTAAGATGCTGTTGTGAAGGTGGACAGCTTCAGCTCTATCATTTACTAACTTGTAGCCATGGGTAAATTATTTCATCTTATATCCTTATCAAAAAGGGGGTTAATAATATTTTATATTATATAGACTTGTTCTAAGGATTAAGTGGGTTAGCACATTTAATTCACAGGGAGCACATGACACACATGAGCTATCACTACAAGATGCCAGGCAACGTGCTAGGTGTTAGGGGCTGTGTGAGCATCTAAGTCACCTTGGGAGTGTGGACTTGATGGTTAAGGCAGAGCAGACACTCTGACTTGTTTTGAATAGGGGAATGGCCTGCTCAAAACTGTTTCAGAAAGATCACTTTGGCTGCGGGGGGGAATGATACAGTTAAGGGAGTTCAAAACTTTTTTTTTTTTGGAGACAGAGTTTCACTTTGTTGCTAGAGTGAGTGCCTTACTGTCAGCCTACCTCATAGCAACCTCAAACTCCTGGGCTCAAGCAATCCTCCTGCCTCAGCCTCCCAAGTAGCTGGGACTACAGGCATGTGCCACCTCGCCTGCCTAATTTGCTAATTTTTCGATTTTTAGTTGTTTGGCTAATTTCTTTCTATTTATAGTAGAGATGGGATCTTGCTCTTGCTCAGGCTGGTCTCAAACTCCGGAGCTCAAGCAATCCGCCCGCCTCGGCCTCCCAGAGTGCTAGGATTACAGGCGTGAGCCACCATGCATGGCCGGGGTTTAAAACTTGACATCAGACAGCAGATTGAAGCAAAGTACAAGGTTCAGTTTCGGACATAAAAGTACAAGATGTGGGCTTGGCATGGTGGCTCACGCCTGTAATCCTAGCACTCTGGGAAGCCGAGGCGGGCGGATCGCTCGAGGTCAGGAGTTCGAAACCAGCCTGAGCGAGACCCCGTCTTTACTAAAAATAGAAAGAAATTGACCAACTAAAAATATATATAGAAAAAATTAGCCGGGCATGGTGGCACATGCCTGTAATCCCAGCTACTCGGGAGGCTGAGGCAGCAGGATAGCTTGAGCCCAGGAGTTTGAGACTGCTGTGAACTAGGCTGATGCCACGGCACTCAGTCTAGCCTGGGCAACAAAGTGAAACTCTGTCTCAAAAAAAAAGTACAAGATGTGGTATTCTTTCTCTCTCAAATCAGAAGACCACCTTAACTCACCCTTCAAGAAGAGGCGGAAGCATCCTCCCGAGGAGCTTCCTTACCACCCTCAGTGCTCACAGGGCACAGCCCTGTATCATGTCTGTTCATCTCTAAGTACATGCATAGGTTAAGACTATGGAGGGCTAAAATACAAACATTTGCTGGACTGAATCCTGCTCCAGTTCCTGCAATGTGGTCCCTGCTGTGTCTTCCCACTTCAGCAAAAGTGGTCCTGGTCATTTCTGCTCTGACTGGAAAAGAACACTGTGGTGTTAGCCTTCCTTGTGGCTGCCGGGTTCACTACAAGAACATCCCATAATGCACAGAAACTGGTACCCTTGGCCGGACATGGTGGCTTATGCCTGTAATCCCTCCCATTTTGGGAGGCCAAGGTGTGAGCGTCACTTGAGGCCAGAAGTTCAAGACTAGCTGGGAAATTGATCTAGTGAGAATTCATCTCTACAAAAAAATAATAATAAATTAGCCAGGTGTGGTGGTGTGCCTATATAGTCCCAGCTACTTTGCAGGCTAAGGCTGGAGGATGGCTTGAGTCCGGGAATGCAAGATTGCAGTGAGCTGAATGTGCCACTGCACTGTAGCCTGGGTGACAGAGTGAGACCCTATGTCGGAAAGGGAAGGGGAAGGGGAAGGGGAAGGAAAGGAAAAGGAAAAGGAAAAGGAAAAAGAAAAAGAAATGGAAAAGGAAAGGAAAAGAAAAAGGAAAAGGGAAAGGAAAAGGAAAGGAAAAAGAGAAAGGGAAAGGAGAAGAAAAGTAAAAAGAAAAGAGAAAGAAAAAGAAAAAGGCACCCTCAACCAACAAATCCACCACCACCAGAGCCATCTGTACAAGAGGCAACTGTTAGGAGTTGTTGTTTCTATAAAACACTCCTGTGCCTGTCTAGAACCTATAGACCTACCCCCGAAATCTGGCATTATTCAGAGTGTGCCATGTTTGTAGCCTTATCTCTTGCACCTCTTTGTGTTGTCCCCTAGGCTCTAAGTATTGTACTCTCTATGGTTTGCTGAGATGATTTTTCCTGTCTTCTTCACTTGGAGGGCTGTTCTGTCCTCCCCTCTCATCTCGAGGCCACTGATTTTCACACTTAACCTCCAACCCTGCCTTTTTAAAGTCGAGGCATCTTCTGAACAAAGGAAACTGCATCTGGAAACTTAAAACTAGAAGTAGAGATGATATGGTTGAAGCAAGCGTCAAAGCCTGGAGTTCCATACTGCCACAAACCCACAGGACCTCATGTTCTGACAGAATAGACTTTAGGAAACACTGCCACATACTGACAACTTAAATTGCTGCAATCTCTTTAGAGTGTAGTCTTGGTGGTTATCAAAATTTAGAAATACACCTTTGACTCAGAAGCTAACTTTCAAGAGAAATACAACTATATACCCTTAAGAATGCAAAGATAAATGTGCAAAATGCTCATGCCAGCATAGTGAAAAGTGCCCCAATGGGAAGTAGGAGTGGCTAAATCACAAAGGATATCCTGTGTGGGGACAAAAAAAGATCTCCAAGTTACTCTGGTAGTGGTAAAAAGACAATGTCACTGCAGCATCCTCTGTTCCAGCAAACAACTTTCAGAGCCACACACAGGAAGACTGGCTAAATTAAACTAGGATACCCAGACTCCTGCATCAGAATACTAGATGGTCACTAAATATAAAAGTGCAAAACTAACCGAATGTCCACTAAGGGGGGGGGGGAGGCTAAGTTACATCAATTATGGTGGAGCCACACAATAGCTACAGGTAATATAAAAGAACAAAGAAGTCCTCTTGGTAGTGCTATAAAAAGATCTCTAAGATATACAAGTAAGCAAAAAAAGAGGAATAACATGTTTATAATATGCTACCTTCTGTATGAAGGAAGAAAAGTAACAGTCATCTTTCTTGATAAAGAAACCCTGAGTACAAGTGGGTTCACAAGTGGGGAACGTATATATGAAAAATGTGTAGAGGGAGGTCTGAAGACTTCACACTATATACCTTTTTATATTCCTAGATTTATTTTGGAAAACATGTAAATTGATTAACTATTCAAAAAGTATGTTTTATTGAGCTAGATCTATATTATCTGTGTGGACAGGGAAGATGGCCAAGATTTACCATTAAATGAGAAAAAAACAGTTTGCAGAGTATAACCATGCTTAAATTTTGTTTTAAAAAACATGTTTTAGGCCGGGCATGGTGGCTCACGCCTGTAATCCTAGCATTCTGGCAGGAGGAGCGCTTGAGCTCAGAAGTTTGAGATCAGCTTGATCAAGAGCAAGACCCTATCTCTACTAAAAACAGAAAAATCAGCCAGGTGTTGTGGCGTACACCTGTAGTCCCAGCAAGTGAGCCCAGCTCACTTGAGCCCAGGAGTTTGAAGTTGCAGTGAGCTATGATGCTTTTCTTAAACTGTCATATAATGACTTCACTTTTTCTTAAATCTTATTAGAGTATACAGGTATGCCTTTCTCATAGTGATCCTGTATCCACATAAAAGCTACCTTTTCAATATGAGATAAAGATATTTAACAAAAAAATATAAGGTTTTCACGCCCGCTGGCATAGCTACAGCAATGGCTTCAGGAATTTCCTCTTCTTTCTTAATGGCCCTTAGACTGGATTCATTTATCTGGAAATGGTAGGCAACCATAGCTATAGCCCTCAACCTACAGTGCATATCAAACAATTCAACTTTTTCTTGTAATATCATCATTTTTTAATACTCTCAAAACTTGAGCTTACCACAATAGCAACAAGAGGTGGTTATGAAATTATTACAATATGTACTGTAGTTAATTTTATGCAGTTATGATTTAATACTGCATCTTTATGTTTGTTTACATTCTCTTGACTGCAGATGACTCACAGGTCCATACAAGTGTCTGTATAAGTTTTGATAAATTTTAACTTTTTAAAATATTTGTGTATATTTTACGGTAATAAATGAGACTAGTATCTACATATATTTTATGCATTCAGGACATACCTAACCTTTTCTTAATTTGTTCAACATTTCTAGACTACATGGTTTGTATGTAGTTTTTCAAATTGTTGCAAATCTCCAAAAACTGTTCCAATATATTGGAAAAAAATTCCACATATAAGTGAATCCAAGCAGTTCAGACCTGTGTCATTCAAGGGACAACTCTGTGTGTGTGCACATATACATACACATGAAAATGGCAAAGCAAATGTAGCAAATGTTAGAATCTGGATAAGGCCCTGTGAGAATTATTTATTCTTAAACTTTTCTCTAAGTTTGAAATTATTTCAAAGTAATTGAAATAATTTTACTTCTTCAAAGAGAAGGAAAAGAAGAGTATATGTGTACAAATATAAAGGAAGGAAAGAGAACTATTAGGACGCAAAGGCTAGTAGGTGCCAGTGAACATAAAGAGAAAAATTTACATTTCCTTTCTTTTGGCTTTTTGGATATTCGTGAAAACAGAGTCCTAGCAGGTTGCCTGCTAGCTTGGGAGAAAAACTAGCAGCAAAGAGTAGGGAGAGCTCAAGAATGATCTTGAGCTGTTATCAGAAAATTAGGAGGGGCTCGCATCTGCTACACATATGCTAAAATCAAAGCAATATAGAGATTAGCACAGCCCCGCACAAGGATGACATACAAATTCATGAAGCATTCCATATTTCAATAAATTAAAAAAGAAAGAAAGAAAGAAAATTGGAAGATTCAAGGCCTCCGTAACAGAACAAGCCCCAGAGTAAGGCTCCATCAGGGTGGTTACTGCCTCTGGGGCCTCCGGTACATTTTACCAATATCTCTTATAACTCCTAATAATAGTATTAAGTGGTAATTACTGAATACTTACTATGTGCCAAGCATTGTTGTAAGTGCTTTTAAGAGATTAACTTAACGACTCTACACAAAATTCTCATTAGGTGCAAAGATTCTCCTTTAGAAGGACACTGAAAGACAGCAAGGTTAAGTTGCCCGGGGCTGTGAGTGGAAGAGCAGGGATTGGGTCCAGGGAGTCTAGCCCGGAAGCCTACAGCCACATCCCATAGCACAGTTACTATCAGTCACTGCTTTACAGGACCAAAGAATGGCAGCAACTCAGACACCCTCTATCCTGTTCTGTTTTGCACCTGCCTCTGCTCTTCCTGTAGAAAGCCTGGCTCAACCATTATGAGGTGAAGAAGGACGAGTTTTGGGATAAGACAACGCCAATGTGGGGTGAGAGCCAATGCCACTGCCTTTAAGAGCAG